GCTGCTGAGGATCTTTTGGTGCATGCCAGATTTCCTCGGCTTACTTAGAAAATACAGCTGCTGTTGTGCTTTTTCTGACCAGCTGTGTGGTGTCCATGTTAGGTCATCACTAATGTGTACACCCAGGAACTTTAAAAGCATTAACCTTCTTCACCACATCCTCACAGGCCAAAACAGAGACAGCTGTGGTGGTCACAGGTTCTATTAGAACCAGCTTATGCAATTAATCAGTAGTACTCAGATCCTGCAGTCCTGCATTCAAACTGTTATTTAAAGTACAAAGTATTAGCATCAAAACCTACTAAAAATAAAAGAATAGCTTATTTCACATTCATGTATATCATATTATTGAATTATAATTGCTGATGCATTGCTGTGTACATCACAATGTTGCAGCTGGTAAAGGGGGAGCTAGTTTTAATGAGCATAAATGCTTATAATTTGAAGTACTCTACATACAGCTGGGTAACTTGTGAATTTTCCACCAGAGACCAGTCTTGATTATGCTTAAATTTTATTAATCTGGTTCTGAAAGATAACCGGTAACTAAAATAAAAAATGTAGTGGACTAAAACGTACAATATTTGCCACTAAAATGTAGTGAAGTCAAAGTATTAAGTAGCACAAAATGAAAATATTCAAGTACAATAGCTCAGTTGTACTTAAGTGCAGTACTTGAGTAAATGTACTTAGTTGCTTTCCACCACTGCAATTGACCTTAATTAGAAATCACAGGTGTACTACTCACTTTTATTAGCTAAGATTCTACGTTCCCCCCTGTATACTTTAACATAAAAATGCAGTTATTTGTAAGATGATACAAAAATTTTTTTAAATAAAGTATTTTAGTTGTATTGCATAGAGGTGCACCCAGTTTTGCTGTATACTGTTACTAAATTTTAGCCAGAATTTTGATCCTAAAATGAGGAAAAAACAAATAATGAACAGAGTAGAAAATAAGTCATAATTAACGTGTTGTGTCGAAACAACCACAAGTTGACATAAAATATTCATTTAAAATGCTGCTACCTTTTTTAGGAGAGCAGGAATACATGCGTGTGATCACATTATTTCATTTTAAGGAACACAGTTGATAATAATATAAACACTGCACACAATGAGGGATATTTTTTGACCAGGTCAGTTCAAAGAATCCTACTTGTGTTATCTTACACTGCAGTGAGTGTGAGCCTTCCAGGATACCAGCTGTTAAAAGCCGCTAGCGTGAATGTCTGCAAATAGCTTTCATCTTCTCCAGTAATGCATAAATCTCTAGGGAGGAGGTCCTGTTTGTTGTGAAGCCAAAAGTGCAAGGCACTTTTTTCTACCAGCAAATCAAAGCCAGTTCATTTCTTTTTTTCCTACTATAATGATTTCAATTTTCCTTTTGATAAAGTGGAGGAAAGTATAAGAGTGAATACAGACAGGCTCCATGCAGCTAGATAATTTGTTATATCACAAAAGTGCTATCATTTTTAGTTTAGGGGTGGCACAGTGGTGCAGTGGTTAGTGCTAACACCTCACAGCAAGAAGGTTCTGGGTTCAAGTCCTGTGGAGTTTGTATGTTCTCCCTGTGCCTGTGTGGGTTCTCTCTGGGTGGTCTGGCCTCCTCCCACAGTCCAAAGACAGCTTAGGTTGACTGGTGACTAAATTGCCCCTAGGAGTGTGTGTGGTTGTCTGTCTCTTAAGTGTCAGCCCTGTGGCAAACTAGTGACCTGCCCAGGGTGGACCCCGCCTCTTGCCCAATGTCAGCTGGGATTGGCTCACATTCTTTTGGATTGAGGTCAGGGCTTTGTGATGGCCACTCAATACCTTGACTTTTTTGTCCTTAAGCCATTCTGCCTCAACTTCGGAAGTATGCTTGGGATCATTGTCCACAACTTCCTGGCTGATGTCATGAGATGTTGCTTTATTTTATCCCCATTATTTATCCCCTTCCTCACGATGTTATCTATTTTGTGAGGTGCCCCAGTCCCTTCGGTAGCAAAGTACCCACAGTGCACGATGCTCCCACCCTTGTGCTTGGGTTGGATGGTGTTCTTTGACCTGCATTATGGCCAAACAGTTCAGTTTTTGTTTCATCAGACCAGAGAACATTTCTTCAAAAAGTCAGATCTTTGTTCCCATGTGCAGCTAGTCTGTGGTTTTTATGGCGGTCTTGGGGCAGCGGCGTCTTCCTTGCTGAGCAGCCTTTCAGGTTATGTCGCTATAGGACTTGTTTACAGTGGATATAGATACTTGATACCCATTTCCTCCTGTGTCTTGATAAGGTCTTTTACCGTTGCTCTGGGATCGACTTATACTTTTCAGACCAAAACATGTTCATTTCTAGGAGACAGAACGTGTCTCCTTCCTGAGCGGTATGATGGCTGCGTTGTCTCATGGTGTTTATGCTTGTGTAGTATTGTTTGTACAGACGAACGTGGTACCGTCAGACTTTTGGAAATTGCTCCCAAGGATGAACCAGACTTGTGGAGGTCCACAATTTCTCCAATATCTTGGCTGAATTTTTATTTTTCTCATGATGTCAAACAAACATCTTTGGCCATTACCGACCTGATGGAGGACATTACAAGTGCTATGGAGAGGAAATATACGATGGGAATATTTATTGACCTAAAAAAAGCATTTGACACAATCAATCATGAGTTATTAATGGATAAGTTAGAAAAATATGGGATCAGGGGATTGGTTTTAAATTGGATTAGAAGTTATTTGACACAGAGGCGTCAATTTGTGAAGTTGGGTGAATACCAATCGAGTGAGCTGGACATTGTATGTGGAGTGCCTCAGGGTTCTGTTTTGGGACCTAAATTATTTATACTATACATTAATGATATATGCAAGGTTTCTGATTTAGTGAAAGTGGTTTTATTTGCTGATGACACTACCATATGGGCATCGGGTGAAAACCTACAGCAACTCTCTGGACGGGTTTCACAGGAACTTGAGAAGATAAAGAAATGGTGTGACAGTAATATAGTATCTCTGAATTTGGATAAAACTAAATTTATGGTATTTGGGAATCGCAGACTAGACAATGAACTTCAATTGCAAATTGGGGGAGCTAATAT